ACAACGGGCAGTACGCCAGTGCTGAGGAGGAACAGGATACACAGCGGGAAGCAGGTACGATTACAGACTGGTTACAAGTTTAATGGTGAGGAATAAATGTAAAGTGACAAACTAAAGATGTACACCGTTATCTGGTGGGATGTAGTGACACTGGTGTGCTTATTTCATACTTATGATGTCACAGTGCAATATGGGACTGGCTTACTGTTGTATAATTGTTATTTTACTTAATTTTTTTCATGTTGGTAGCTTCGTCACATTGAAACAAATTTATAAAATACATTTTAATACCAAGAATAAATGAGAGCTTATACATTTTCTGTCATTTGAACAGGTTGGGGTCTACTTCTATGACAACGGCCATGGCGTTCTGGAAGACAATGACATCTACAATCACATGTACTCTGGAGTTCAAATTAGGTTTGTGGGAATATTCACCTCAATCCTTCATGACAGTGACACAAAATTAGTCTCATTGTGTTTTGTGCAAGTTTGGATAGACTGATAATAGATAAATGTCTGAATAAAGTCTGACTTGTCCTGATCTTAAAATGGGGAAGGAAATGCCTTCAGCATTAGTGAAGCAGTGGATCAGCTGTAGTGTGTGTGCTGTTTTTGACAGGACTGGCAGCAATCCCAAAATCAGGCGGAACAAGATCTGGGGAGGCCAGAATGGAGGCATTTTGGTTTACAACTCAGGTAGGAAGCAGAAAAATCTTTTCTGTTTGATTTTTCTCCAGAGCGCAGATCATCTCTTCCCCCCAAGAGGTTGCTTTCTGTCGGGATTAAATCGATTTACTTGTTGACACCTGACAGAGTCAGTGGCCTCTGTGGCTGTTGCTGATAAACAGTTTGATGAATGTGACAAACAGTTCCCTTGTTGCCCTAATAATGAAACATGAATATGTGTGGGGTTTTTTAGGCTTAGGCTTCATCGAAGACAATGAGATCTTTGACAATGCCATGGCAGGAGTGTGGATCAAGACGGACAGCAACCCCACTCTGCGGAGGAATAAGATCCATGACGGGAGAGACGGCGGGATCTGTATATTCAACGGAGGAAGAGGTAATTTATTTATTGCATGGAAATTAGGGGATAATTACCAGCTTCATTAAAGGGGCCCTGTGGAGTTCTCTTGTAAGCAAACAAAAATGATGTTTACATTGAGTGTTTCCCACAAAAACTCATTGTGTATCCTTGAGAAAAACAGTTTCAAAGTGCGACTAGAGGTTGAAACTCCATAGGGAACCTTTAATGGGAACTTATTATGGTGTACTTATTTTCTGTTATAGCAACATTGGATTACCAATTTAAAGAGGCCAATGTTTCACATATGTAAAAGTAATCCCAGTGAGCAAAAACCTGTGCGAATAGAGAAGCTGACGTTAGCACATGGCAGATTTTTTTATATGGTCATTATGCTACTGCAAGTGTTGACATGACCTAGTGTACACTGTTACATGGAGCCACATGCTAACATCAGGGAAACGTGATCTTGGTTGCCGGTGTTTTTAACTTTTCCCAGGTTTCGGATCATATTCTCGCTGGAACATGTCCATTAGTAAAGATTTGGTTTAGAGGCTTTTATTAGGGATTTTTCACAGTACAAAAAAGTGCCACTACAGTCCATGTCAGTCACTCCCTGGCTGAAATGGAGGTGCAGAGATGTTAAGAGTACAGATACAGAAAACCTGGAAACACTGACCAATCAGATCAGACTTTTTCAGCAGGGGGGCATAGAGACAGGCACTAAAGCGGAGCATTTCAGATACAAGTATGAACCTGAAAATGAGCATAATAGGTCCCCTTTAAGCCTCAGAAATGCAGAGCTGTCTGACATTATGCTGGCTAGAGTGTGTGTTTATTGTCTATGGAAATGCAACCTCATGTAGTTTGATAGATTGACATAATCCTCACAAATAATTCTAGTAGCACACTTAATATCTCTAAGCTCTTCCTGACATTCTGTGAGCAAGCGAACTCTAGCAAATGGAGCACGAAAAATTATCCAGATACACTATCAGCTATGACAGTCGGGGAGCCTACTGAGCCTAGCGAGCAGCTTGCTCATGCTCTGGAAATAGGTTGGAGGTGTAAAACCAAGGCGAGTGTTTTTTGTTTGTTTGTTTTTTTCAAGCAACTCACGTCACTTAGCCTGTTCACTGATGCACAGCAGGTTAGGACATCTTCAGTGGGAAAAACAGAACAACCTGATGTTGGCTTGTTTGTTCATTTGCATCGTGTCCAGTTGGGGAAGAGATGTAAGACGTTTGTGCAGTTTAATTTTCATGTCAGCGGTTTGTGGCTGTTTTCTGTCCGCAGGTTTGTTAGAGGAAAATGACATCTTCAGAAACGCCCAAGCAGGAGTCCTCATTAGCACCAACAGCCACCCCGTACTGCGAAAAAACAGGATATTTGACGGCTTCGCAGCAGGTAACAGGCTGTAATCTGTTATTTAAACGTCTTAACTAATATGTGTGTGTATAAACAAACAAGAGGTACAGTATGCCTAACTAATTGGAGCTAGGAGCATCTGTAATATGAGCTGTCTTTTTTTACTACTAGGTATTGAGATCACCAATCATGCCACAGCGACCCTAGAGGGCAATCAGATCTTCAACAATCGCTTTGGGGGATTGTTTCTTGCATCTGGGGTCAATGTCACTATGAAAGGTACTCTCTCTGACACACAGATTTGACACATTCATTCAAAAATGTAAGTGACCTGTAAGCTTACCAGTTTGTTTTTTTTCCCTTCTCCAGATAATAAAATAATGAACAATCAAGATGCCATTGAAAAGGCTGTGAGCAGAGGTCAGTGCCTGTACAAGATTTCAAGTTACACCAGCTACCCAATGCACGATTTTTACAGGTAATTTGTGTTTATGCTCGCAATCAAGATGACTCGCAGGTCAACAGTTTGTCTGTTTTGTTGTTGTTGTTAACACGCACAATTTGGGTTCCCGCAGGTGTCACACCTGTAACACAACAGACCGCAACGCCATCTGTGTGAACTGCATCAAGAAGTGTCACCAAGGACATGACGTGGAGTTCATCAGACATGATAGGTCAGTCCTATAAATGTGTACAAAAAGAGGATTGTTTATGTATATATTGGGCTTTTTTCTTTATGCCTTAATGGAGTTTAACTAAATGATTTCTCCTCCTGCAGATTCTTCTGTGACTGTGGTGCGGGGACACTGTCAAATCCTTGCACGTTAGCTGGAGAGCCGACTCATGACACAGACACACTGTATGACTCAGCTCCTCCTATAGAGTCCAATACACTGCAGCACAACTGAGCCTGAGACCCGAGGTCCCTTTGCGCTTCAGCAGTAATGGACACGAGACACTTTAAAATGTGCAGTGGAGGAGATCCAAACTAAAATACAGAGCATATACAGTGACTTAAAAAAAAAAAAAAGACTTGGACATAAATATGCTAAAAGGAGACATTTAGAGAAAAAAAAGTCTGATTATGGATGCCTCGCTTTTTCTTTTTCTTCAATTCTTTGACAAAAAAAAAAAAGATGACATCAGTGGGAGCGAGCAGAAGAGCAGCTGACTCAGGGTTTGTGGGTGTGTTGGTTTTGGTCGAGCAAGTGGAGCTGGTGAGAGACGGACAAAAAGCCACCAAGGCTCACCTGCTTTTTTTTTTTAAGAAGCGGAAGAACGAAATACTGCAGTCATGTACAGACCCATCGCGGACAGACGCTCAGTCAGAAGAGGCACAACTTTTCTCACACAGAGGCGAAAAGGCCCCAAATACAACAATGCTTCCATCACTGGGCAATCGACGTGCTCGTATGATACGTACGGGAAAAATGACCTAGCACTTCAGCTTTTTTTTTTTTTTTTCCTCAAGACAACTGTTGAGATTTGATTTTAATGCTTTTTGTGTAGTTTTGTATTTTCATGCAAAAATCTTACTGTACTTGAATGTCTTTATTTTATTAAATGTGTTCATTTTTTTTTGGTTATTATACCCTAGAATTGCTGTAATTATACATGTCGCAGTATCTAACTTCTTTCTGTGAAAGAGATCAGAGAAAAGAGAGGAAAAAACACTAAACATTTTCTCCAGCAATGTTGACTCGTTTTACATTTGCAATACCGAACAATAGATGCTGAAATGTGCTTTCACCAGACTTGTGTAGCTTTCTTTCTGTTTGGAGTAGCATCATAAGTGTTTGTCTTCGTAAGTGAGATTAACTGTTGTGATATTTCAGTCCGTTTTACATAATCTATGCATATTTTATGTTTATTCTGTTTGTGTTGGTCTTTTGTGCAGGACCCAATTTACAGGAGAAGAGACACGGGGCAAGATCAAGCATTTTTTTACTCCAGGCTGCAGTTGTATAATAATATAGGGGGTGTAGTTTGTTTAGCCAGATATCCCCTTGATATTGTAATTAAGATGCAGCCTCTTCTTTACGTACCAAATAAAAACACATTGCTGTCTGGGGTCAGGGCATTATAATGCATCTGTTAGGAAATCATCCAAGGACATTTGGATGCTTGTACCGTCTGTGGTACATTAACTTCACAGTAGATTGTATAATCTACATCTTGCCCTCAGAATCAATGGTTGTCTTGAACGACAGGCACAAATGCTGCTTCCTGGCCTGTTGAGATATTTTCTTTAGCTGACAGACTTCATTTTTCACTATAGGTCCAAGGAAAAGAGACAAGTCTTGTGAAAGCACAGCTAATTTTGATGTGTTTTCCCCCTTGTTTGCCAATGTTGCTGGAGAATTTAAAAGGCTTTTACTCTACTGAAGCTGAGACAAGTATCTATACACAGCACTATATGGTTTCATTGCCCCCCCTCGTCCCTCTCCTCCCCATTCATGTGTACTGGTGATTGTGGGTTCTCATACAGACTGAAATGTATGCATGTATCATAACATCTAGACTTAATATATTGTGAAGTATTCAATAACCGTTATGTAGGCGCTAGCGTGAATTAAAAGGGTTTAATTTCCTAGATGAAACATTGTCATTTTTTAAAAATAAACTTTATTAGATCATTACAGTAGTGTTTTTTCAAGTGCTGAGAGAAACTGATTCAGCAACAACAAAGCATGTTTTCAAAACTACAGGGTGTTGAGCATCTGAACAAGTGAAGCAAAGTGTGTGTTGCCCAGGGTAGAGTCTTCAGCGAACTGACACAGCTTCCTGCAAGACGAGAAAAGGGGGAAAAAGTCACAACTACGCTTTAGCATTTCCCAATACCAAGTGAAACCCTTACTATGGATGTCATTGCAGTAGCTACAGAATATTTAAACCCAAATACTAATGCATACTTGAAGAGTCTGAGGCTGATGGTGCTCCTCTCAAACTCTCTGGCCTTCCTGTGTCCCGACTGAATGACCTCCTCTGGCAGGCTGGCGAGTCGAGCGGCGTTGAAGCCGTAACTCTTGGGGCAAGCACCGGAGATGAACTTGTAGAGGAATGTGATGGTCTCCTGACTTGGATCCTCGCATTCATTCTCCACCATGCACGCCTAGGGGGGAGAAAGCAGGGACATTATACTTAAAACCAGAGCACATGTTTCAGAATCATTTTAATTGCTGGATATATTTTGGCTTTTTCCTATTTAACACACACGCACACACACATTATGTGCTCTATGAGACTACACCAAGATATGGTTTATTGACTTTTAAGAGAGCTAAGCTCATTTGTATGAAATAATATACTAAAAACCTCCCAGGCTCTATATGAAACCAAGAAATGTGACTTGATAGGTAAATTCCCTGCCCCAAAGTTTTACTATCAGAAAATGGACTACACAACTGTATATAAGGATGTTTTTTTTTGTTGTTTTTTTTTGCCCCCGATCCCAATGTGAGTCATGTAATATTGAATATCTGCAGATACTGAGTCCCGATCCGATACTTGTATTTTCCTAGATAATACAGCTGCAAAATAACAAAGTCTCGTAAAATCTTTTTGGCCTTGTCGCTGTCGAGGTAATTGTCTTCTCCCTCTAAGAGTATTCTCCAGTGTTAGTTGCCTCAGTGCAGCCTGTGTCTGAGTTAGCCTCCCAGGAGGAACTATTTTCCACTGAGTGTTTATTTGTTGTCTATAGGCTACATCTTGTGTGGATTAGGCAACATTAATATATTATTCTTACTGGCTTTTTGCTCACAGGGCTTTTGTTGCCCTTGCAGTGGTGTGATGAGTGTGGTTGTTCTAAGCTCTGCACCGCTCTCTGTCTTTCCTTCAAGCAGGGGAGCGGTGAAACAACACTAGGCGCCATAGATGGCAGCAAAATGCAAGACTAAGAATGAGCTAAAATGAAATGACTGCATATAACTCTAATATATAATATAAATAAAAGTTTGCAGTCGTTTATACAAACGCGCGCGCACACACACACACACACTCGAGCTCAGTGAAGTGGAGGAGAGCCACAGTGCGGAGAGTTGACGACAGCTACACTCCGCATTGCTGTGCATGAAAACTGGGTGTGACGGCTCACATTAAAACAAAGGATCGGATTAAATGCCTTGATTGGCCCCAATACCAATTTCTTAGATCTGACTATGGCTCCACTGCATATTACGTAAAACAAACAATCAACCATTTCTGGAAACATTTGTCAACATGATCAATCTGTTTACATTTTAACATTCCCAAGCTGTTTGCCCTGCAGTACAGTACTTGGTGTATTTAGCGTTGCTGTACTCACCATGTGGCCCAAGCGCACAGCAGGGCTTTTGGCGTAGTCCTCCACCAGGGAGTGGTAATGTGTGGAGAAGAGGGTGCGACAGCAGATCTTCTCAGCAAGCTCCTTCACAACAGCACTGGCAATCGCTGTGCCATCATATGTGGCTGTGCCCCTTCCTGCAAACAGGTCACAGCTGAATGGTTAGACTCTAAATACACCACAAGAACAAAACAGTGCTGTGGAGCCTGCCTGTAATGTTCACCGCTGAATAAGGCATAATTAGCAACAAAGACGTACCTAATTCATCCAGGAGCACGAGCGAGTGTTTAGTGGCGTGGTGCAGGATGCTGGCAGTTTCACTTAGCTCCACAAAGAAGGTACTCTCCCCTAAAGAAGACATATTTGTAACACATGCTTAGCCCCTGAAGTGAGAGCTTAAGACATCGTCCCATATGAGCTACATGACAGGAGTTCATAACATTACCAGCCATGATGCGATCTGAGGCTCCCAGCCGAGTGAAGACTCTGTCAACTGGTGTGAAGCGCAGGCTCTCGGCAGGAACATAGCAACCCAGCTGAGCGAGGATGATCACAAGTCCACACTGTACAAAAGGAGCAGCACAGTGTCTCAATATGGGCCAACAGAGACTTCAAACAGACCCGCATGGTCCAAGTGAATGTGAAATTCAGATTACTTCCTGTCTATCACTGTTAAGGTTTTGTAGTCTTACACACATGGAGGAAACAATAAAATATTTGTTACATAAAGTGACCCACCTGTCTCATGAGGGTAGACTTTCCACCCATGTTTGGCCCTGTGACGAGGACACAAGAGGCATGCTGCTTTTCTTCATCAGTTTCACTGCCACCAGGGCAGCCAATGTAGACATCATTAGGTATGAAGTCATCACCAAAAAAGGTCTTGGTGACACAGGGGTGGCGGGATCCAGTGAGGTCAAGGAAGGGCGCTACTTGGTCATCGCTTTCGGGCAGCACCACCTGTGGCCTGGTCATCGGTCCATCTCCACCCTGACTGTAGCGTGACAGGGCCAGCAGCACATCTGAAAACAATTCACAGTTGAGGATTTAGCGCTAATCCAGTTGGCCTTTTGACCTAAAAAAGAGAGAACTACCTACCTGCGTTTTTAATATTTTATCTTTTATCTTTATCATTTTATGGGGTGATTCTGCAGCTAAGCTCTTAACACTAAACAAACAAGTAAAACCAAGCATAATCTGCAGCTCAGTGATGGCCCAGTGGTAGGAAAACACATTATAAGCACATTATCTTACTGTACCACAGATCAGTAATAAACTATGCAATTATCTCTGCCTCTGTCAGGAGCAAACACCACTACTTAATTTCCATAACAATGAAAAACAAACTAATGAGTGTCAACTTAGCCGAGTGGAATAATGGAATAATTACTCAGTGACGGCAAGATTACAGCGAGCACTCAGACCGGCACAACATCATCATCTTAAATACAAATTATGGAGGTATATCTGTAGCAGCTGCAGGAAATGTATTCAGGGCAGACACCTGTGATGCAAACTCATCTTCACAAGCCCAAAACAGCAGCAAGTTTTTTTCCAGAAACATAAAAGGAAATTGCACAGTGGGGATGCGATGAAAACCTGATGTTTTGTACTGCAGTAATTTAAACGCAGCAATCACTTTATGAATTTCAGAATCAGAATTGTGTACATAATAGTTCTGACTAGTCTTGATTTTTATTTGTTGAGCTTTGTTGTTTTTGTTCCTGGCTGTTGTGTCTGTTTCTGTGCAAGTACACTGAGAGCAATTTAAAAAAAAAAAAAAAAGGAATTTACACAGAGATACTTTGCCGGTAATGGTAATGCAGAAATTTGTCACGTGATGCCTTTAAATTCCTGCAGTACAAAGAACAAGGCGCTGTTCGTCTCGTCCCCATGGGGTAAATTGCGGTCATGTTTCTGAGAAAAAACTAACTGCTGATTAACAAGAATAAAAAGACTGTAATTACCAATCACTGCCATGCACTCCACACCAGTCTTCCAGTCTTTGTAGTTCTTGTCAAAGTTGTAGAAGAGCCTCCTCATGCAGTCTTTCAGCGCAGCGTCTCTCTTCTCCTCAAATCCTTGCAGCTCTGAGAACAGCCTCTCCGTCTCTTTAGTCACGTACCGCTTCCAGCCTTTCTTTGTCGACTTCACCTCGTACTCCTCGGGAATATTCCTCTCGGAGACGCTGTCGGGCACCTCCATCTGGTAGCGGTTTCGCCCAGTTCCCCAGTAGGACATGTTTTTACAGCCGAGTCTCTTCTTCTGTCTGTCCAGGTAATCCTGCAGCTCTCGCTCGCAGTTCTTGATTCCAGTCAGAGCCTGGTCGAAGTCTGGGTCAAAGCCAGCTTTGGGGGTGATGACACCAGTGGTGCGAGCTTTCTGGTGGTCAAAGGCTGTATCCCAGCGCTTGAGTTCAGCAGAGAGGTCGGGGAAGAGGCCATCCTTTTCGCCTTTCAGACTGGTGACTTGACGGAGCAATGTGGATTGAGATTCCCCTGAAACTGGAGCAAGGACACTGATGATCTCCTGCATAGTTTTGAACCCTTCCAGTGCTGAAAGGAAGTCTGCTATCTTGCGCTTGCTGTAGGTGACCTCCTCATAGAGAACGGCTCTGCTGTCAGGGTGATCCTGGCTCTTCAGCGGAGTGCCAATGCTGTGGATTTTACTCAGGAGACGCTCCAAATCTGGGAGTTTCTTCAGCAGGTCTGAGACTTCAGTAGCCTGGGCCTGAGCTCCCATCAGTTCATCCACTGCGTCCAGTCTGTCCTTGATGGATGTGGGGTTACACAGAGGAGCACAGAGCCACTGCTTCAACAGCCTCTTGCCAAACGGGGTACAGCAGGTGTCCAAACGCTCCAGCAGTGTCCCTTCTGTTCCTCCGCACCCATTCTGAAAGATTTCTAAGTTTGCCAGAGTCACTCCATCAAGAACCATCCGCTGACGGGTCTTTGCAAAGAAACTGGCAGGTCCAGCTGCTTTCTCCAGCTCAACATCAACAGGGACATATTCTTCAAAGTTGGCCAAAGAGAGCAGCTCCTGGTCCACCAGACATTTCTTCAGGTAGAAAATACATCCACCCAGTGCTGACAGAGCCAGCTCATAGCCCTCTTTAGGAGTAAGGCACAGTGAGTCACTCTCAGAGGTCATCTTTTTTATAAGAGCAGGAAGGATGTCATTCCCTGTATCCTTGTCCTTACCAGCAGCCTCTCTGAAGTAATCTTCTTCTGAGAGGGTTTTCAGAGTCTTCTGAGCATCCCAGAACTGGGTGCCTGCATTAAGTCCTTCCTGCAGAGCGGAGGACAGAGAGGCTTTGAGTATTTTGCGTGTTTCAACAGATGGGTTTCCCTTTTCAAACAGCACTTCAGCAGGGGCAAAGTGTGCGATCAGGGTACGCAGACGTGAGCAGTGACGATCGTCTGGGAACTGACCAACGTGAAAATAACCCACAGACGTATCTACAAAGCAGACTCCATATGTACGGCAACGGCCAGAGCTTTCTTCTTCAGCCTTTTCCTTTAAGCTCAGCAGGAACTTACTCTGACTCTCAGAGGGCGCACCGTCCAGTACACTGTAGGTTTGGGTACCACGTGTGATAATGCGGCACACTTCTCTTCGTACCACACGGTCAAACTTTGTGGGCTTAGCCATGGTCTTACAGCGTGCTTCCATCATCTCTGGGGTCTCCGTCTGCTCCACACGTGCCACCTTGTAGCCTTTCTGGACCAGTACATCTGAAAAACGTCCAAAGCCAATCTCTGGGAAGCCCGAGTGTGCCCAGGTCCCCTTCATGAACGTTAGTCCCATCTCGTTGACTCCGACCACAGCATCCATGTGATACAACTCATAAAACTTCCCCACCTTGTAGAAAATGACTGTGTCAAACATCTCAGATTTGAGCTGCCACCACCGACGCATACCCGGAGTGACTCTGTTTAGAAAGTCTTCTGGCACATACAATGTGGTGGGATCATAGTCATCCTCTGTCTGTCGCCGCCTCCGGCGGTCTTTCCTCTTGCCATCCTGCAACCACTCCAGCTTCTCGTGGTCCCAAATTGTTGCACCTCCACTGGCGCCTGATCCGTTTGTCTGACTCTCAAAGCTCTCTGGGGCAGAGAAGGCTGACAAACGGGACTTTGTGTCGAGCGCAACAGCTGCTGGAGCTCGTTTTGGTGTGTTCGAGGGGGCAGAAAGTATCTTGGCTTTTGCAGGAGCAGGCTTTTCTGCAGGACGTTTGCGCTTCGCAGGCTTGACGGGGCTGTCTACTTCTGACTCTTCGGGGCTCTCCTCTTCCTCCTCTTCACTGCTCACAGTTGCTGCTTCCTCCTCATCCTCACTGCTGGAGGCAGCTTGTTCTGGTTTGAATTCCTCATCTGAGCCATCGCTGTCTGAGGCCACAATTATGCGACGACGCTTGGCCTTATTTCCCTTTTCTGTTGAAGCACGGGATGAACGTCGACCAACCTTGGGCGACTTCACTTTCTCGTTTTTCTGTTCTTCCTCATCACTGACCTCTTCATCAGTCACTGTTGACTTGTCAACCTGAAACACACACAAAGGAGGACATTTAAAAATAAAAACGTGTAACCTGCCCCACTGGCCTGATTAGATATATCAAACACTCTGTTTTACTAATGATGAGAAAGAGACATTAGAATGACATTGTTATTAGCTATAGTGAAATACAGACTTTTATATCCACATTATCTACATAGCAATCAATTATAATCACACTTTCACCTCCATTTCTTCTTCATCGTCATCCTCTTCCTCATCAGACGGATCCATACAGATAGGCATCTTTAATCTTTTCTCAGGGCTGTCAAACATCACTCCATCAGCGAGCTCCATTGCACGACGGATTATGGGTTTGCCGCTGAAGAACACTCCTCCTGTTTTAGCATCACTGCTGTCAGAGCCTGCAAAATAGTTCAAATGAGACAACTCATCCAACTATAGTAAATACTGTCATGTAGCTTGCTGGCAGGACAAAGCACATTATAGACACAGCTTTAAGATTATTATTGTCATTAATTAAGAGACGAATTGAAGCCAACCTTGGTACTCTCGGATATATTTGGTGCTGACCCATCCTCTGGTAGCAGGTTCATCAAAGAAATGGACATGTATACGTTGGTCCCGACCACGGCCCCTCATCTGCTGTCCAGTCAGAGGTTGGGGTACTACCATGCATGGCCACCAGGGGTGTCCCTCCAGTTTTGCCCACACAAGGGAGCCAACACTGAATGGGCATGTGTTGCTGCTGAAGGAAGGAAAAACAGTCGTTACGTGTAAAACTACAGCTGCTCCCCCATGGCATCTAAAGTCAGATTGTGTCAAACTGATATACCGCAGCTCTGAAAAGCTACTGTAGTACAACATATTGAGTATCAACCATTCATGAAACTGAATTACATCTTCAAGTAAAAGTTAACAGACACTGTCCTTTTAATATTTTTAAATTTTGACTAAATTGACTAAATAATGTGTATGCCAGAGAATTTATAAAGGCAGTCCTATTTCTTTTTCATGGAGTTGCATATTTTATATTTAACATTTTCTGTCACACATTTCTTTGTCAATTAAAGCACCACAATTTAACTTTACCCAGTCTGTGACACCAGGTGTCAGCACGCCCAGGTCCACGCCCCTGCAGGCAGTGGGCCCACAGGGTGGCTCCATGTTATTCATTCAGGCTGAGCCCGATCGGGCCCCACGACCCAGTGTCCCCATACCTGGTGAGGTACACTGTCCCCAAATGTGCCATTTCATCGTGGTCTTCTTGAACCGCTCTTAGTCTGGCCCCTCCCCTGGGACCACTTTACCTTGGGAGACCCTACCAGGGGCTATTAGCCCTGGACAACACAGCTCCCAGGATCACAGGGACACACAAACCCCTCCACCACGTTAAGGTGGCGATTCTTGGAGAGGGAAAATGGTGGATTGCCCCCTTCGGGTTGGGAGATAGCTACTGCCCCAAGCGAGGGAGTTCAAGTATCTCGGAGTAGAGCCTGCTGCTCCATCGCGTCACAAGGGGTCAGGTGAGGTGGTTTGGGCATATGAATAGGATGCCTCCAGTTAGAGGTGTTCCGGGCACATCCAACTAGTAGGAGGCCCCAGGGCCAACCCAGAACATGCTGGAAGGAATACATATCGTGCCTGGCCTGGGAACACCTCTGGGTTCCCCAGGAGGAGCTGGAAAGCGTTACTGGGGAGAGGGACGTCTGGACTGCTTTGCTCAGCCTGCTGCCTCCGCAGCCCAGCTTCATATAAGCAGTTGAAAATGAATGGATGAATGGAATTTATCTTGTGTGATGTTGAAGTATAATGTTACCTAGGCTCCTGCATCATTGCAATGTTTGCATCAAGGACCACAATGATATCAAATCCTGAACTATATTGCTGACATTTTTGAAAACTACACACGTGATTTTACGAGCAGAGCAGAGGGACTGCCACGCCACGAGTTCACAAAGCCAATAACCACCTCCCCATTAGCTCATGTTGCTCTAACTTCAGACAGTCCTCAACGTCTAACTACACAAAGTAACAGTCATTGGTACATTTCGCATTTATTCTCTATAGCATGTACGTTACTGTTGTTGAGCTGGATGCATTTTCACTGGTTTGACAAAGTCACCTGAGATTCAGAATAAAGTTAAAGTTTCCAGCATGATGGTAACCCCAACTTCACCTGTTACATAACAACAAAGAGGCTGTAGCAAATGAACATGCAGCTTTCATGCGTCGAGTAACGTTAACACAAGCACCATGCAGCTGCATCTTTCCGGGGCCTTGCACACAATCCTTAGCAGAGATGAAACACGCAGCAAAACGTGTCTCCAGTAATTACCCTGCTCCCAACATGCTCACAGCTAACTCACCTTTGTTTGGTTGTTGCGGCCTTGTCGCCAAATAGTTTGCTGAACCCTCCTTTCACAGACTTGTCGTTAGTTTTCGCTTTAACTTTGTTGGCCTTGGCTGGTTGTTGCTGCTGTGTCTGTTTAGCTTCTTCTTTCGGAGAGGAGCTGGACTTCTGTACGGAGGACGGCAGGTCCGCCTCGGCCGGAGAGGGACTGGGCTTCGGCTTGGACACCGGCGGCGGAGACTTTGTGAAAAAGTTGAAGAGGGAGCTTTGCTTCGCCATGTTGTGTTTTTACTGCACTAGTGAGATAATCCTAACGACACTATCCTGAGCCTCCATGCAGCGCCTAGCACCGAGCTACACAGCCTCACCGCGCGAGCGCATCCCGTTCGCGGGAAAGACGCCCACGGATGTTGTGGGAGTGGACACGAGCCTCCACCAATGACAAGCGTGATTACTGTAACATGGACGTCACGTGGTGTCAACACGACTTCCCTTAGCGCGCGGGGAAATCTTTTTTTTTTTTTTTTTAACTTCCCTTTCCCTCTAAATGTTATTTCCAACCAAAGAATACACACATATAACATTCAGTTTGAAGGCTTCCTTCTACATTTTCCCACATCGCTCATATCAACATGAATCACTGTCACTTTTTGCTTTGAGGTAAAAAAGCAACACACACTGAGCAAGCTGCCTACAGTGTCCTATATTTGCAAAATATGTAAATAATGAAATAGTTTAACACGTGAGGAAGTAAACAACACTACTCCATTCAGAAAAATGTCATTGGTCCAGGTTACTTCAAGGTCCAAGATCACAGAAAATACAGGGGGGAAGCTACATCTCATATATGTGGATGTTCTTTTTGCTCCATATGTAATTCTTAAATCAGAATCAACAAAACACAGTAAAGCTTAATTTCTCCATAACTGAGGGACTGACATAGCTAGACAGAATCCCTTAAAAGGTCTCCTTGAGATTTTACAGCAGCACAAGTTTCCATGAAGAATGCTTGGGTGCTTGATCTCAAGCTTGTGATGCTTGTTACCGTCTTACAAAGTTGGCTTATAGTTAATGGCAGAAGAAAAGAAGACAAGAAACCCAAACTCATCAGAGGAGTTAAAGATTATACCACTGGAGGAATACAACCCTATAAGGCACATACTAAAAAGTTAATTTGATCCCCAAATACTAGAAAACAGAAAACAATAGTAGGAAGAAGCAACAAAAAAAATAATAAAACCAAAAACCAAAAGCGTATTCAGTGGGTTCTCCTGGTTGCAGAACACACTTCTTATTTTTCTTTTTTTTTGTTTTTACCTTGCTTTGGTTGCTAAGGCCTTTTGTGCTGGCACAATTGTGGCAACTGAGGTTCATTATTCCACTGGCTCTGGGACTGTCAGCTGTTCAAACACTCTGGTTAGAGGTGATATCTCCTATGTCCAAGTTTTTTTTGTTAATTTCCCAGTGTGTCCCAAAGCATGCTTGCTTGGCCTAAAATTGGATAATAATGTTGGAGTCACCGTCGACTGCCGATGGACTTTGGGTTGCTTATCAGCTTAAAGACTGATTCTTTTAAACTGGAAGGACCATAAAACAGCCTGCTTCTTTAGGGACTCATAGCTGAAGAGATATCTGGACTTGCTGAACATGGAAAGGCCAGTCTGCCTGTTAAAAGACTTTGATAAGGGCCTGGAAGACCACTGGGACACTGTCACAGGAGGATAAAGAGTTGTGTACAAGGGAATAAATGGTGCATTGGTAGTACATTACATCCAGAGGTGGCAGGGTTTCTTGAATATTTTTTTTCCTGCTACCTTGGCCGGGTCTCTCTTGTAAGAGATTTTCAGTCTCAGTGGGAATTCCTGGTTAAATAAAGGTTAAATAAAAAAAAAAGAAAGAAAAAAAATAAAATAAGATAAAATAAAAAAGAAGATAAATAAATAAAAAATGCAATTTACACTTCCATATACAGTAGAGAGCTCACTGAGAATGAGTCCATCAAAGAAAAGTAAAACAGGACACAATATGACATCATTGCTATACTGGTGATTATAAATAATAGGGATAGAAGCAAACTGATGATGCAGACAAGTGTGTTATGTGTGTGTGCAGGTTAATATAATTGCAAAATGCTGTTGCTGTTCAGAGCACTGGACACTGGCTCTATAATCTGCACTAGTCATTTACCACCAGCAGGGGGCAGCAGAATACTGGAGGCTTCACAAGCAATAGCCTGTAACTTAATATACATTTCTTACCGTTCAAATTGTGAGATGACAGTACAGATATTCCAGTTCCTTTGCAGCATTACTCAGTGTTATATGTGACACACATCTGAGCTGCATGCTTTCTTCATATCTTAACAATTTAAAATGAAAATAGCAAATAAATGTTAATTTGGAGATTTTGTTAAACACGTCCCACTGTTACACAATTTGATCAGTGGGAACAAAAGGAGCAGTATGCAATGAGTCAGCATTGCGTACAGTACAGTGACCTTGTTTCTGCTGAAATCTTATAAAGTCTGTGGCTGAAAAATAACAGTCTATCCTACCTACAGTAGTAATGTTCTCGCCAGCTGTGATTCACACGAACTTAAAATGCCCAACTGCATATATTTATCTTACTTTCAAAGCATGGAGTAAATAAATACTGATATAAACACCGGAAAAGGGTTGCCTTACATATTCAAAACAACCAAACATCCGCCCACATATGACTTTTTGGCATATGGTGTGTGGGTGATAGAAAGCATCTAATTAAGACGGCATTGTGAAACCTTACACAGCAGTTGTTATGAGGAGCTGTTTTAATTCTGTGAGATTTGCTATTATTAATCAATAAGTAAACATGAACAAAGTTATCATGCCGTAAATATAGACAGTGCCAAGGTCTATGTATCATGTGCATATATGCAGAAATGTTTACCTTAAAATTGGGTATCTTTTAGCAGAATCAGTGCAGTTAGTTATATCTGAAGTAAATATAAATAAACATCTTTTACCCTGGAGAAAACATGGAAATTCAGGGTCTCTTTTCTTAGTAACTCCCGTCAGCTCTGAAGTCTGCAGCTGAAGCAGCTCAAGCAGCTGATTGAGAACACCATAGCAACAAATCCTGTATTACTACCTAGCAAAACCCTTGAAAGCACCAGAAACACCTTAGCAACCTATTTGCAACAACCTAGCACCTTCTTTGTGACAACTTAGCAAACACCTAATGCCTTAATAATCACATAGGAACACCTTAGTTAGAACTGGAAATGTGCAGCCACCTCTTAAGTGAATAGCAATGAGGAGGTGAGGTTAGCTCATGCAGAAGACATGTGTAAATAGGCCTTTTTCACAGCGGACATTTTGTCATAATGGGGACAGCATTAATAAAAATTAATGACTCTGTTCTTATCAAGTCTCTTAGTAAGCCGTGCTCGTGTGATAGTACGCCAGCACGCACTCACCATTCAGTCATCATTCATTTTATTATTTACACCTCTCTTTTACATTATCGCTGCATGAATTCATTTACAAATGTCAAAAAAAGGAGCCAAGCCAAAGGCAGTTCTCTGACTAATTAAATTCTTTTTTCAGGCAATCATCTTCATCCTCCTGTCTCCTTGTCTTTGCATAATGCATTTGCCTTTTTTTGCCTTGGATGTGAATCTTCTTTCCTGTGGCAGTGTCCACAGTCCACAGTGGTGGTTTGCCCAGCAGGTGCAGCAGTCAGGCTGATGCAACAGTGTCGAGCAGGCAGGGTTAACTCAGTGAGTTTCCATAGTCAATGTTTAACTGTGTTTAAAATGATGTCAAGCCAGAGAGCAATATACTCCAGAGCATAAGATCCATAAAGTGTATTCCAAGCACAGAAACACTCCTTTTGAAGGACAGACATTTTCACAAACACAGGCTTGTTTGAGCTGTGTCAAGTGTTTTATGAATTAAATTGGGCGAGCAGCCTGAGGTGTAGCCTTGGATAATATCATAAACTGTTACAGCTTGCTCTGACTTCATTGATGTGGTCATCATCTGATTTTAATGCTGCCCCAGGCAAGATTAATGTGTAAAAATACACCCACCTCGTACCTAGATCATGAAATGGGGCTGCGAAAGGATCCTTCCATCCCATATCATTGAGAAGCTCGAGATTAAAGTCAAGTGCCAGGAGTGGTCACTTGCAGAAAGATTTTTACACAGAAAGTGAAAAAAAAATTGAAAAATTGAACCTTGTGAGCAGCGAAACATTTTCTCTCAAACAGCAGCAAGCAAGCTGGACTGTGCAACAGAAGATAAACCTGCTCCTGAAGGAATTAATTTCCATGATTTCCATGGCGACCGTTTAACAAGGAGAGGATGTTTAAGTCATGTGGAACGATGTCTGGATGTTGAAATATATCAACTTTTCACTGTCCCTCAAAACTATTATCTGCTGCTGTCTATACGAGCCAGCAAACTGCAAAGTTAGGTAGTTGAGCTTTGAAAGATAAAATGTTTTATTTATTTATTTATTTACAGCAGATTTCCTCCATCAGTCTGTGGCTATTTTCAAAGTGAGAGAAATGAGCTTATCAGCGTTTGTGCAGAGAGTTAGATGAGAATATTGATAACATGCTCTTGATATAAATCTTCTCCTTTAGCTTGGTGCAAAAAAAGCAAATAGGTGTATTCTCCAAGACAGAGGCGGCACTAACCATGAAGTGATATGGGCAGTTGCTTAGGGCCCCCCTGGTCTGTGGGGGACCCCCTAGAAAATGAACAGGAGACAATAATGATGAAAAAAAGAACTTCCTAAACACAAACTGACAATATTTTGTGCCAACTTTGACCCCCTAAAATTTGCAACACAACAGAGACAGGTAAAATTAAATAAATTACATATGGAGATCGGATTAAGAGGACCATTCACAAATAATGTGTTAATTGTAATCTGTTTAAAGATAGTTGTTGCTGCTAACAGGTCCTACTTAAGTCTTTACATGCATATTCAACACATACTCACTCCGACTTCGTCACATATCAAAGTTTGGTCATGGACTTTCCACGTCAGCATATGACATGCAAGGTACCCTGAGTGCGTTGGTTGTTGACATTCTGGGGCACCATGTCAACTTCAGCCTGTTACACGTGTTGTGTCTTTTCAAAATACACTTCCGTTTTCACAGGAAATGTACACGTTGCATACAGTCTCTTTCAAAATAAACATACTACATCAGCACAACATCTTGAATTGACGTCTTTTTCCTTCAACAACAAAGACACATGGTTATGTTTAGCCAACACTAGCATATAGTTTTGGTTTAGGCAACAAAACTTTACTTTTTTTGGCTTTACATTCAAACAGAAGCAAACACTGGCCTCCTGATGAAGGTTGGTGGTTGTTGGACCTATCCACCACCACTCCCATTCCCACTCCCACTACTACTTGG